GGGTTTAGGGTTTAGGGTCCTCCCAAAGGAAGCCAGAGCACGAGGCCTGGTCCAAGGACCTAGTCCAGAATGCGGGGAAAGGTCGCGGAGGATACGCCGCCCATCACGCTCGCGAACATTCTGCTGAGAGTGCCGGAACAGCTGTTACCGCGCTGGGGGCTTCCCCATCTCCTGGCCATCGGCTGCTTGAGGACTCGCAAGCAGAGGTGCTTGGAGCCAGNNTTTGGAAGTTGTTGGAAGCTGTCGCAACGCCAGGCCACGCAGTTAGCCGCCGAGGTGGAACAGGACCCTCTTTTGGCCTCTTATTTCTGCAGACTCTCTCGGCAGAATCAATGTAAAAGGAACGAGTCCGGTGCCATAACCCTTTGAACCTCGAGGTTGCGAAGGTAGCATACTACTAAGTTGTTGGAGGTATAGAGTGCAGGGTAGTTGGAAAGTCTAGGTAGAATCGTGGTCTTGGGGGCTAAGGCTTTAGGCTTCTGGGTTTTGGGGCTTTAGTCAGGGGCCTTAGGTTTCATTGTTCTTGGGGGTTTAGGATTTGTTGGTTCAGGCTTTCGGGGTGGTTTGTGGGGTTCTTTGGCATTGCGGCTGAGGCCTTGATCCAACTTGACTCTAGCTTGATCTGGTTTTACATGAGTAGCTACTGGCGCACTGGCAGTCTGGTGCAGAAGAGCCGCTGCTGCTGGTGCTGCTGCTCCTTCTTCTACTCCTACTTCAGCAACAACAACAACTTCTACTACCACCACTACTACGACGACTTCTACGACTACTACGACTACTACGACTACTACGACTACTACGACTACTACGACGACGACGACTACTACTACTACTACTACAACTACGATTTCTTCCTGCTGCTGCTGATGCTGCTGCAGTACGACTGTCAATGCCCTTTCCACCAGCACTCTACCATCCAGACTGCCCCGTCCCAACGACAGAATAAACAACGCGAGAACTTACTAATTAAAGAGTTGCCAGAGACAGTATGGGAAGGATAGCACCAATGGTGAGAAGGATGCTGCGCATCATTGCCATCGTCAGACATCGTAGTGGTGCAATCACCCACGTCATCACGACAATGGATTTCAGAGCGAGAACTGATGAACAGTTGATATGAGCTTCAGAGACAACATCGGAAGAATAACGTCAATCGTGAGAATAATGCTGCTAGTCGTTGTCGTCGTCAAGCATTGTAAATACCCTAAACCCTAAACCGATCATTTTGCCGTTTTGCCAGGCACCCCCTTCGGCCTTCTCTCAGATGTACTGTGGCAGCGGCAGCGCATTCACAAGCTTACCAGCTCCCATGTCATTCGGCATGGACTGTTCCCAGAATCTGTCAGAATTCAAGATCCATTAGAAGGGCGAACTGCGGGCGTAATCCAAGTCCGTACCACCAACTAATATAATGTAGGAGCACGGCAGCAATGAGAATGCCAGTTGTGGTCACGAGTTAGCGACGGGTACTCGCACTGCAACACAGGCTCTAATATACCCCTAGCCCCTAAACCCTCAAACGCTCAAAAACACAGAGGCCATAAAGCAAAATTGTGTGGGGACTATAATTACTAGTGTTCAGACCCTCTCTATTACAACGTGCATATGGGCATGTCTCAGGACGAGAAACTCTGCACACTCAGCCTTGGTCCTAGGGTTTTGCGGTTTCAGGGGTCTGGGGTTTAGGGTTTAGGGTTTCGGGTTTAGGGTTCGGTTCAAGACGAGCAGCATAGGGTTCAAGTTCGTAAACACTCTGATGTCACGCGTTCGTGGGGTTCGTGCCGAACAGGAATCTGATGCCCAAACCTTCCTTGCAAACCCCGAAGAAACTGCTAGAACATTATGGATTATGGTTTCATTTTCTATTCTATTATCAAGGCAGGTTGTCTGGGCAAAAGGTAAACCCTAAACCCTAAACCCTAAATCCTACACCCTAATCCTTAAAGCCTAAACCCTAAACCCTAAAACCCTACAACCCTAAAGCCCTGAACCATAAACCCTAAACCCTAAACCCTAAAACCCTATACCCTAGACCCTAAACCCTAAAACCCCAAAGCCCTAAAACCCTAAAGCCCTAATCCCTAAGCCCTAAACCCCTAA